AAAAAAAAAAATCGCCCTCTTCGCTTGGCTCGATTTCCAGGGTGCATGCATGGTCCATCGCCCCAATGCACATCTCGCATGGGCCCGCCAGCCAACAGAGGCCAACGCAGGCCAACGCACGAGTGCGAGTGTCGCCCCCAATCCAGCCGCTGATCTTCCGGACGCGGGTCGAAAGTAGTATATAGCATCTGCTGAATCCACACCCGTTTCGTTCTCCACCACCCTACACCATCCTGTAGAATCATTCGCAACCATGTCGCACCTCAAGTACGCCGATGCCAAGTATGTCTTCCTCACCGACTTTGACGGAACCATCACGCTGCTCGTAAGTTGGCCTCCTTCCTCACCCCCCCTTGACGAGTCAACTGGGTCCAAAGTACTGATCGCCAAATCATCCCTTATCCACACAGGACTCCAACGACCACATGGTCGACACCGTCGGCATGGGCTACACCGAGCGTCGCAAGATCAACGTCGAGATCGTCGAGGAGCGCGTGAGCTACCGCGAGGGCTTCAAGCAGATGATCGAGTCGGTCAAGCGTCCCTTCTCCGAGATGGAGGAGCTCGTGCGTCGCGACGTCACGCTCGACCCGGGCTTCAAGGAGTTCTACGCCTTCGCCAAGGCCAACAACATCCCCGTCATCATCGTTTCTTCGGGTATGACGCCCATCATCCGCAGCATCCTCTCCAACCTCATCGGCGAAAAGGACGCCAACGAGATCGACGTCATCTCCAACGAGGTCAACTTCACCGACCCCGAAAAGAAGGGCGACACCTGGGAACTCGTCTACCGCCACCCGGACAACCACTTTGGCCACGACAAGAGCCTCTCCATCGCCCCCTACCGCGAACTCAAGAACCGTCCCACGCTCTTCTTTGCCGGCGACGGCATCTCGGACATGTCCGCCGCACGCCACGCAGACGTCCTCTTTGTCAAGGACAAGCAGGACAACGACCTCGCCACCTACTGCCGCACCCACAACATCCCGCACCACATGTTCAAGGACTGGACCATCCCCAAAAAGATGCTCGAGCAGATCATCGCCGGCGACATCAAGATCGACCAGGTCGTCGGCAAGAGCTCCAACAACGGCGACTGGTAGATCCCTCATCGAACTCGACGCACTCGAACGCTCCCTGAAATTGTAAACATTCATACACACGCAACACGCATGCATCCGTTGGACTGGAAGCATCTCGATTGCGGGCGGGCGCCGGCTCTCTCTCTGGCGCCAGCTCAGCCCTTGTTCCTGTCGTTTTCCGTGATGAGCAGCGCGGCGAGCACGAGTAAGACGGTGGTGGGAGCGGCAAAGAAGGTGTAGGCGGTGAAGATGGTCTTGGAGATGAGCCGTTCGAAGCTCGGATTGCCCTGGGCGCTCTGGCTCGTGATCTGCGCCAGCGTCAGCGCCGGAGGCGAGCCAATGATCAGACACGCGCACGCCACAAACACGGGGTCGTCCATGACGTTGCTCCCCGTGGCCATCGCGTACCACGCCACCACCGGCAGCAGGATCAGCGGCGTCACCACCATGCGCGACGAAATCGCCACCGCAATCGTACGCCGTTCCATCGTGGTCGCCGATCGAGCCGCGTCGATTTGCTTGGTCAGCGCGTTCTGATACCGGCCAGCAGAGTTGCGCGAGTTGAGGTCGGCATTGCGTGCCGCTTCATCCGCACCACCCGCGTTATCGGATGTCGAGGCCACGTACGATGCCGGCTCGTCGACGTATGCGCGCGCATCTTCGAGGTCCGAACCGCCGTTGGACGACGAGCCGCTGTTCCACGGATTCTTGCCCATCCACGATCCAAGCCCACGTCGCTTGCTGTCGCGCTGCACCAGCGTCGACTCGCCCGAAGCCACCGACGACTCGAGCGACGCGCGACGCCACGGATCGTCGTCGTCGTCATGGTCGCCACTCACCGGCTTGGCGCCATTGGGCGGCATGGGTTGCGGACCGGTCATCGACGTCGATCCGTCGCCGGCGGGCGCGCTGGGCGGTACGGCGTGCGGCACCGAGTTTTGCGACTGCACCGCCGAGGCGTCGGCGACAAAGTAGGCGCCCAGCACCACCATGGTCAGCGGGATACTGCACGCGCCGGCCGTCTCGAGCGCGCCCACGACGGGCTCGAGCGAGTCGACAAACTTTTGCAGCGGCGGAATCACCGCGACGACGAGCGAGATGACGGCCGCATACAGCGGTGCCGTCATGAATCCGCCCACCGCGTACACGGGCCGCAGCACGAAATTGTGCCAGAGCTTTTGGGTGGTGGTCTTGAAGACCACCCAGCACGAGCGGTTCTCGCGACTGTTGGTGGCGCCGGGCAGCGTGATCTGGCCCGGCTCCTCGTACGGCTCGAGCGGCTCGTCTTCGACGTCCGAGTCGCGCGCGTCGTCGCCGCGTGCGGCGCCAAAGTTGGCGGTGCTCGCCTCGGGCGAGTTGGGGAAGCTGCGTGCCCAGGCGGGCGGGCCTGAGCGCGTGCGCTGTGGACGGCGCTCGCCCGTGGGTCTGCGCAGCGTAATCTGCGGCCGCGTCTGCGTCGACTCGTCGGAGCCGATGGAGCCGGTGGAGCCTGTGGAGTCGATCGAGTCGTGCGACGCGGGAGTAGGTTCGGCGATGGTCTCTTCGACGGTGCTGAGGAGCTTTGCGCCTACGCTCCAGCGGAGGAACATGCCGAGGGTGCTAAAGAGGACGAGGTAGGTGAGTGCGCGACCGAGCATGCCGTCGACCGTGTCCTCGGGCTCGCCCTCCTCGTCCCAGTGCAGCTGGGGCACGGTGACGACGAGCGACTGCATGAGCGCGACGGGGAGCGAGTTGGAGTTGGGCGAGATGGCGCATGCGATGGCAAAGTTGCGCTGTGCGGGCGAGAGGCGTGCGGTCCAGGCGAGGACGAGCGCGCTGAGCGTCGATACGACCGTGACGATGACGAAGCCGAGCGGCACGATGAGCAGCTCGGCGAGGCGGGCGGGATTGAGCGTGAAGGCGACCTTGGAGAAGAGGAGGGCGGGGGTGAAGAAGGAGACGTTGAGCTTGTTGATCTTTGTCTGAGTGCGTTTGTCGATGATGCCGCGGCGTGCGAGGATGAAGCCGACGGAGGAGAGGATGACGACCTCGAGGATGGAGGAGGCGGTGACCTTGATGAGGCCGAGGATGGGGGCGCCCGACGCGCCGTGCTCGATGTACGAGGCGGTGGGGAGGAGGAGCGAGTGCCTCATCGCGGCGGTGGAAGAATGATGGTGGTTGGGTCGATACGGCGGTGTGGAGTAAGTTGAGCAGTGTTTGGGTAGGACAAGGTCGCCGAGCGTGCATACAAAATTGGCGCACGGCCAGTCTCTTCTTTTCGGCTGCATTCATACGTCGTTATCTGAAGCTCAAATTGCCGTTGAGCCGCACCCTCACTCGCACCTGTTGGACATGTGCAGTGATTGCCTTCTCTCTCTCTCCTCACAGCCATGCATTCTGAGCTTGTCTTGCATGTAAGCCGTTCGTGGTGATGACGCTCTGAGCATACGACCTCAGCCTTGTACAGCTGGGATGCCAAGACAGTGCTAAAACAAGATCAAAGCTGGCGAGTGATTTCTGCGGCCCAATCGAATCCCTCACGTCAGAGCGTGTGGAGGAATGAGCGGCTCGGGCGCACGACCCTCTTCGATTGAGCGACCGACCCTCCTCGACTGAGCTTCTCCTGAAGCCCTCTTGTGCGCCCCTATCTCGCTCTCTACCAAAAAAAGGTACCAAAAAAAGAAGAAATGGAAAAGAAGAAGGAAAAAAG